TTTTATAATGTGCTTCTGAACATTATGATGCCTCTGTATGCCTTATTGAGCCTTCTAGGCTATAAGAAGTTACAGAGCAAGCAGTTAGGACCAAATGAAGGTAGTTTGGGTGAAATTTCTATTGACAAGTTGTGTTCAGATGCTTTAGTTTTAGATCTCATTCTAATGTATAATTAACATGTATGATCCTTGTTGGGAATTTCAGTTTTACCGCAACTCACTGTATTTTATGGTCTTGCAGTTAGAAATGGCTGAAGAATGTTCAGGGAATGCAATGGACTTGAGTGGATTGTTACTGCTACATTCTTCTTTAGGAGATGCTGAGGGAATATCAAATCTTGCAACCCGTGCTAAAGAGCGAGGGAAGAACAATGTCGCATTCCTTTGCGTGTTCATGTTGGGTAAACTTGAAGACTGCCTTCAACTGTTGGTAGAGAGGTAATCTTCTTTAGTTATGCCGTTTTGCTTCCATAAAGCAGTAACACAAGTAAGAAATAGGTTGGACTAAAATTTGGTTTTACATAACTCTCTTGTGCCTTTGCAGCAATCGGATTCCTGAAGCTGCTTTAATGGCACGGTCTTATCTCCCAAGCAAGGTCTCAGAGATTTTAGCAATTTGGAGAAAAGATCTCCATAGGGTAATTCTACTTCAAATGTATCATACTTTTAGTGCACTAAGACTGCCTGGATGACATTTGTTATTGTGTGTAGAATTTATTCTCAGGCACCCTTACAAGGAGGCTTGTCATCTTAACGGAAGAATTGATTAAAGATAACTAATGTATTTCATAGGTATATATGTCAATGCTTTCATCGCAGGTTAGCCGTTAGCCCCAAAGCTGCCGAGTCATTGGCTGATCTTGAAGAGTTTCCTAATTTGTTTGAAGATTGGCAAGTTGCGATTGCTGTTGAAGCTAAAGCTGTAGGGACAAGGTTAGAATGTGAGAGTGCTCAATTTCAATGTTTTGTTTGTGTTACCTCTCATTCAAAGCATTTCAGAATAATAAGAACTACATTGAATCTTTCTTTGTATTTTCTTTTCCTGGTATATGAGGGGCGATTACCCTCTTGCAGAGTATGCCAAACATGCTCGAAAGTCATGTCTTACCCTTGTCAACGCTTTCAGAAGCATGCAGGTTGAAGAAGGGGAAGAGCTTCGTGAGAATGGAGATTCTAATCATGAGGTATGCTATTTAAAGATATAACCTCACATGAATCAGTTCACAAAAATAAAATAAAATTCATGAACCAGATAAGAGGTGTTTCTTTCTGTTTTTTATTTTTGTTGTGTAAAACTGTAGATTTCCAAAAATGTTAAGAGTTGGCCTTAGAGTGTTGTTTTGTGTAATTAGTTGCCATTTTGTTGCAGTTGATTGAACAGAATGAAGAAGAGCTCAACGCAGAGGAAAAGTAGGAGGAACAGAATGGAGAGGAGGCAGTTGTGGTGGATGCTGATTCTTCAGATGGTGCAGTACTCGTCAATGGCAACGGGGCTGATGAAGAGTGGGGAACCACTACTCAACTATAAATAACTCTGATTTGATTTTTCATAAATTTTTGCAACTATTTGGCTTGGGATAAGGAACAGTTGGCTGCTAAATGTGCATTACTGCATTTAATCAAAAACTTTTTGAGGGTAATCAACCAACTGGATTTGACTGATGCTAAATATTTTTTTGTAGATCTAGCTGCTCTCTAAGATCAGGTTTAAATCAAGATATTTCCGTGGTTAGAAATTATATCTTCAAAAAGTTTTTAATCGGGCTTTGACTAACTTTTTATAGTCCACTCAAGTGCTTTTCTCTGCCTTGATCATATTGTACATTCATGAAACTCTGGATCCATCCATAATAATTCTGTCATCATTTAGTTAAATTAAATTTCTCCTGAACAGGCCTTTTATTTTCTTCCCTAACTGCTTGCTACTGTTACCTTTATAGCGTCTTGTAATCCACTCATTAGATTATTGACCTTTAAACGATGTTTATTTATCATAAAGGCATACCTATTTCTATTTTAATAGGGAAGGATTCGTTGCTTCTTCAGTCTTAACTTTGTTTTCTCTTTTGTTGACAGTGCTCACTCCACATCACTAGGTCTCATCAAGACAATCGGTTCCAGCTATAGTGGATGTATATGAGGTAAGAATAAGATAAAACACTATATTGGATTCCACTTGAATATCCTGATCATGCATCTTTGTATTCATTGAAAAAATTTCAGCCAGGATCTGGTACTGCTTGCTTACCTAACACGGAGAGTCTTAAATATGTTTTCATCAACTAAAAAGGACTCCAACTTCAATAAAATAATAATGGATCATAATATGTAATCGTATTGTTTTGTCTCACTGGAATATATTACTATGTGCTGGTCAATATTTAATATATTACCTTCAGTCTTTAATATAAAATCCATTTTAATGAAGAAATTAACTTACAAAGTAGATCTTATATAAATGAGTCTTACGTTTAGGACAAAAAAAATAGAACATATGGATATAGTCCTTGACAACACTACATCATTGCATTTGTGTATCGAGCTGATATATGCATTGCGTGTCTTTAGATGGCTACGTGGAACTCAAATGATTTTTTTTGTCAGTTTCCATTATCATTTTTGTTTAATTGAATTTAAATATGCAGGTTTCAGTCACGGAGGCCAATGTTGAGATTGTGGAGATCGATTGTTCTCATTTCCTGGTAGAATGCCGACTTTGGTCATCTTGATTGTGGTATAACGGTATACCAGTATAGCATAGGGTCAGTTTACAATTTACATTTTGTAATCTTACATATAGCATTCTTCTGAGGATTCTCACCTCGATAGGCTTGTCCCATTTTGAAAGTAGAAAACTGAGCTAATGATATGATTGATCGTTTAAATTCTAGGTGGTAATATTGGTACTAAAAATGTTGATTATTGATATTCTTTTTGGATTGAAACTCGAACCTTTTACAGTAAAAAATAAAGATTCTTTCCCAGAATCTTGTTTCCGTTGAGATTTGTTCAAGCTCTTCAAACCGTATCATGTCTTTCTAATAATACATAGTAAGATAATTTTGTTTCCCACCCTTCTTTTTTCGTTTCTAAGTTAATTTCTTGCTTTTGTAATTCAGCCGTGTTTCCTGTTTCCAATAATTTATGCATACTTTGATGTGGACCGTTGCATGAAAGATGAAATTTCCTAACTCTTAATTGATTTGCCCATTTTTCACCCCTCTCTCACTCAACATTTTGCATGCGGCAGCGCTTGCTTGGTTCATCAGTTTTATAATACAGGGAGAATTTCAATAAACCTCCTCAATAGTCAATTAATATCAATCAAACCCCCCTCTCAAAACTTTGAAATATCACTGTACCCCCTTGACTAAAATTTTATGTCTAAAAAGACGAAAGTATCCTTACTTTATTGTCCTGTTTGGAAGATTCTTGTCATCTAACCATACTTCAAAGTGTGGCTATCATTGGTCACCATGATTATATATGAAAATGCATCTAGTTATCTACTTTTCTAGTCCTTAAGACATATTTAACTAATTTGAGTAGATTAAGGATGTTAGTTAAATTAGTTAACATGATTTTTTTTTTCAAAACACCATAATCATTTTCTTTAATTCTCTTCCTTCCTCTCCTACCTAATTATTGTTGAGGGAGTATTGATAGAGTTAACTTGAGAAAAATTGGTAAACATGTAAAATAGATCTTATTTATATGATCAATAGTAACTCTCAAATTAAGTCATATATTAAAGATCAAAGGAGTACTAAAGAAATATTCAATTAGAAATGACAGAGTTAGATTTCTAACTGAAGAATTTTAATTGGTGCAGATAGGACATTTAAGTTTGAAATATAACTTTTAATTTGCAATTGGGAATCCTATTTTCAAATGGCTCAATATTTTTTAAAAAATTTTTAAGCATCCAATTGTCATTAATTTATTCTTTCAAGATTTAAATGTCATTCTTTCCAAAATAATATATTACTACCTCTGATTTTTAATATAAGACTTAATTAACTAATTTGGAGAAATTAAGAAAGTTACTACTTTACTTAATTATAGCATATGTTATATGATCCTTTTAAAATTCTTATCTGTGTTATTATATTGTATATCAATTTATAAGTGAGGCAAATTAATTAGAAAAATAATAACTACAAATAATTCAAAATAATTTAGTAACCTTTTTAATTTCTTCAAATTAGTTAACTAAGTCTTATATTAAAAGTTGGAAGTAGTATGATTCTCGTCTCTTAAATTGAGTCAAATGATTATCAATCCATTACCAATAATAGAGTGGGAATATCTTTAACTTAATTATTTATCTCAATATTTAGAGCTGAAAAGCTTAGAAGTATATTATATATATACATATATATATGTAACAATTAACAATGCCTTTCGATATCGTTGGCAAAGAATAAAAACAATGCCTTCTATATCATTGGTCCGTCTCCGTGCAAATTAAAAATTCTGATTCTTGACCTGATCTGAGCAGCAAAACTTCAAATTAAGAATCAAGCACTAATCAAAACTTAAAACCATAGAAAACGTACTTTTCACATTTCAAAACAAAAAGATTCATTGCTCCAACTCGAGAACGGTGATCTTTATTCCTGACTTGTTCATTCATGTGAGAAAAGACAAAAGCAAAAGAAAGAAATCAAAGCAGCAATAAGAATAAATCATTGTCTATCTCGAAGAAAAATAAGGATCAAGTAAGGAATAAGATGCTGCAATTTACTTTTCAAAATTAAAGAAATAAAAGGATTATCATCATCATTTCAAATCCTATCCATTTGCATCATCGACTGTCTCATGCAAACTCATAAATATTGCAATCTCTTGGTGTATGAGGTAAGCCCAAACATGTGGGGTTCTTTCATTTTGAGGGAAAAATATTTATTGAAAAGAATTTTAACTTTAGCATTTTTCTGTTTGATTTTGGATGAACGCGAGCTTAGCATCGTCTGAAAGATCAAAAGTGAGAAGCAAATATGGAGAAAGTGGGAGATATCATATGGGATATTGCAAAGTATTTGTGTGGTTGCGCCAAACAAGAAGCTGGGTTTATTTGTGAGTTGGAAGAGAATCTGCAATCTCTGAAAAGTAAATGGGAAGAGCTTGAAGCTAAAAAGAAGGATGTGGAAAAACGAATTGAAAAAGCTGAGCGCACTGAAGAGGGGAAAAAGACACATGAAGTCGATCTTTGGCTCCAACGTATCCACAACATTCAGAAGGTACGAACTCTTCATTTTACATTTATTCTTTTTTTTTCTTTATTTAGTATGTGGTGTTTTTATTTGCTTTAATTTTTTTTGTTCATGAATTAGATAATTTCCATATTCAGCTATCAATGATGTTGTTAATTACGTAATTCCTTAGCCTAGTAATTTATGATAATTTTATTTAAATGTGTTAGTTCAAACCCATCTAATTAAGCACATTTAAAATTTTTCGGATAAGTGTGAAACTCATATTATATTGAATTTATTTGAAATTTTATCACAGTATAAAAACGGAACTAATTTCAGTGCTCATCAAAGTGGTGAGTACCCCAAGCTCATTATATCTGGACAATCTAGGTACAATTTAGATGATACAGATTTAATTTATTTTTTATTTTTTAAATAATTATTTTAATGGGTATATGATGTAAAATAAAGATGATATCTTTCTTAAGACCATAATTAAGTAAACAAAATTACCTTATATTAGCATAATTAAAACTTAATTTGAAAGCGTGCATATTGCGTATATAAAAAATTGATTTATCAGTATCCATATTACAAGTTGTCCAATTATTTAGTTAAAAGAAAAGTACGTAGAAATAAATATATGGAGGGAGGGAGCGCAGAGAGAGAGAAAGCGTACTTTTGTTGCTCATATGAGGTGGAAGCTTTTTCTTAGAAGGAGAAAACCAACATTAGTAGAATGTTAATTGAAAGGCGACATTACTCTACTTTTTTTGTGATCTAAAATATTTTAGGATATTTAGTATACTGAATACACTTTATAAAATATTTTAGGGTATTAAATATATTTTAACCCTAATAAAAATACAATCTCTTCTACCTCTACTATCATTTTGTTGAACAGAAAAATAATAAAATATTAAACTGATTTTTTTTTTTACAAAACATATTTTATTTTTTTATCGTTCAAAAACCATTTTCAAATATGTATTTTATTTTTCGTTTTTAAAATTATAAAAGAAAAGAAGCTGTTTTGCCAAAATGAAACCAAGCAACCCCAACCAAAATCTTTAACAATATCGTTCAGCTTTTTCGGTCAAAAAAACTGTCATTCATATTTGGCCAAAAAAATTCATTCATTTATATTAAGATATGTAATTTCTTATCCCGATATCAAAACTTGATATGAAAGTGTACTTAACTGGTTCATGTAAAGATTCAGAAAAACAGGGGAAAAGAAATATCAACCTAAATGATTTTGTATTCACAGGAAGTAGAAGATAATCTAGATCAAGGAGCCCAAGAAATCCAAAACAAATGCCTAAGTAAATGTTGTCCCAAGAATTGCAAGTCAAGCTACAAGGTGGGAAAGAAGGTTGCCAAGATGCTCACTGAAGTAGCTGATCTAACAACCCAGGGACAGAGGTTTGGTAAGGATTATCAAATTACTCACAAGCCACCATGTAAAGGAATTGGTCAAATACCTGTTGATAAGACAGTGGGGCAAGATTTGATATTTCATCAGGTATGGAGTAGTATTGAAGCAAATAATGTTGGTGTCATAGGTTTATGGGGAACTGGAGGGATTGGAAAGACCAACTTACTGAAGAAAATTAGCAATGAACTTGGGGAGAGAAAGCCCGATTTTCTTGTGATTTGGGTGGTGGTATCCAAAGAGCTTAACTTGGATGCAATCATGGACAATATAAGAAAATCAGTAGGAATTGGAAATGCTACTTGGAGTTCTTGCAATAATCAAGAAGAAAAATCTTCAAAGATTTTGGGTGTGTTGAAGCAGATAAAATTTGCTTTATTACTGGATGATGTGTGGAAGGGATTGGACTTGAATTTGGTGGGGGTGCCACATCCAGAAGATTCAAACTTTGAGTGCAAAGTGTTGTTCACAACACGAGTGGAGGATGTGTGTGAAAAAATGCAAGCTCAAGAGTCATTCAAAGTGGACTTTTTGAATGAAAAAGAAGCTTTGGAGTTATTTTATATGAAAGTTGGTGAGAAGACTTTAAACTCACACCCTAGGATCAAAGTCTTAGCAAAAGAAATGGCAGCAGAGTGTAGAGGGCTGCCGCTTGCGTTAACTGTGCTAGGAAGTGCCATGGCTGGTGTGAAAGATGTTAAAGCATGGGAGTCCTCAAAAAATAAGTTGACAAGTTCTCCATGGACCACTACAGATTTGGAGACAAAAGTTTTTTCCACCCTCAAGTTGAGCTATGATCAGTTGCCAGATGATACTCATAGAAACTGTTTCTTGTATTGTGCATTATATCCAGAAGACTATGAGATTTGGGTCACTGATATCATTGATAAATGGATAGGGGAGGGGTTTATTTGTAGAGATATGACAAAAAGCATACAAGACATTCGCAATGATGGTCAATCTGTGATTGCAAAGTTGAAGCTTTGTTGCTTGTTGGAGAGTGTTGAAGATGATGTTGTTTTGCGTCGTTCATTTAAGATGCATGATATGATTCGAGAGATGGCATTGTGGTTATCTTGTGACCAAAATAAAAGAATTAAAAGGGTTCTTGTACAAGAAGATGCGATAACAACATCCCGTGATAATGTTGAAAAACAGAAAATTGTTGAGAGGATTTCAATTATGAACAGGGAAGCACAACATGTATCACCTGTAACTTATCCCAATTTAGTAACATTATTGTTGAGGCGTTGTGGTATACAACATTTGCAAAACCTCAAATGCATGAGCAAATTAAAGGTGTTAGAATTACGTTGTCCTGATATACGTGAACTTGCAGAAATTGGTGAGTTGGTTCTATTGGAATATCTTTGTTTAAACATAGATGGATCTGAGTGTCCCAAGGAATTGAAGTATTTGAAGAATTTGAAGAATTTGAAGGTTCTCAATTTGTTCTTGAGAGATGGTGATATTGCAAGTATTCTATTGGGAGTGATATCAAGTCTTCAACAATTAAGAGTGTTGAGAGTTGCTTGCCGGCGGGGAGTTAGAGAAAATAGCGAAGCAGAGGGAGAATTCCTGGAGGAGGTGGAATCTTTGCCAAAAATTGAGGAAATAAAGGTTGCAATAGAAACAGAAAAAGGCCTCAACAAGTTACTTCAGTCAGGCAAATTGCAAGATTGTATATATGCTTTTCGCCTGCGTGATTTGGACACCATTGAGATGCCTTTATTATTGGCATGCGTTTCAAAAATGAATCACCTCCAACAATTGGGTCTGTTTGAATTATCTGGTTTGAAAGATTATTCTGGTATTTATGATGACACTTGTTGTCTAAGCATGCTTCAAAGCGTGATTATCTCTGGTTGTGATTCCTTAACACATGTCACATGGCTCAAGCATGCTCCACAGCTTCAACTACTTGTCATTGTCTACTGCTCATCAGTGGAGGAAGTGATAAAGGAAGATGAGAATGAGGATTCTTCTTATGTATTCTCTTCTCTTGTAAACCTATATCTGTATGGAATGCCAAAGCTTCAGAGCATCCATAAGACCGCCTTGTCTTTTCCTTCCCTAAAAACCATCACTATAGGACTATGTCCAAATCTGAAAAGGCTACCACTTCATTCCAATTCTGCCAGACAACTAATTATCCGCGGACAGAAAGATTGGTGGAACAGTTTGGAATGGGACGCCAAACACAATTTCCAATCAAAATTTCAGCCCTTCAGGTCGGATGACGTCAACATGGATTTTCAAGGTAAAACACATTGGTAACATCAACGCACACATTATTCTTTACCGTTCTTTTAATTTTTATGACGTAATATAATTTTACGCTTTATAGATATAAAACATAAGCATATTGCTTTTGACATATGTCAAAATGCTGGCCCAGCCCTATGCTTTATTTACTGAATGCTGAAGGGTAGCCATGTCATCGTGTGATCATGTATGGGTGCAAATGTTTGAGTGTGATTCCTTCATCTCTTTTCTCTTCAAGAAATTATTTATTGTTTCTTCAGTTAATTGGCTTTTTATAATTTGCAGATCTGTTTACTGCGGTGGGATTGGATTTCCTCGTTGGTCCTTACAGCGCCTCTGATTTCTTGAAAGGTTGATTAGCTTCTTTTTAAAATAAATTAAAGGACCACCAAACATGGCGTGTGTACTATTACTTTTGTATTTTTATTGTACTTTCCTGTTTGTGTAAACTCTTTGATTCACCATTACACCCTTCTGTACGTACAGAGATCATTGGTCAATAATCTATTTTGCGTTTTTCCTTTTCTTCTGGGTTATAATAAGACTCTGAATATTGATCAACAATTCACTGAAATTATTCGCATTTTGAAAACATCTCTTTTTTGAAAATTAAAAAGGCGAAAACGCCAGCCTCAGAGGAAAAATCATACAATAAGAAACATAATAATTCAAGCTTAGATCTTACCCATTAATTCAATAAATTAAGATTTTTGACCAATCTAACAGTGAAAGAATCTAAGCTACGTGGTTTGGGAATTTAAGAACTCGTATTCATATTTTAACGTAAAATTATATGTTACGTAATAATTATTTATATAAATAATATGTAATAACAAGGAAACGAAATATTTATTTTTCAATCAAAATATCTTTCGTAAAATTAATTTTAATATTCCTTTAACAACTAAATATTAGCATTAATAAAATTAATTCTTTTAATTATGATAGGGCCAGATGTTTCAAGAACTCATTATAAACAGCTAATTATGTAGTTTTTCCAAACTTGAGTCGGATAATTTGGAACAAAGAAATGACTTGAGTCGGATAATGATCATTGCAAACCATAACTAGTTGCAACTATTTGTAATTATCTGGAAATTTAACAAAGAAAAATGATTTAAATTAATACATAATTGATTACAATATTTCTATTACTAAGTGCTAATTAAAAATTATGATGGATGACCAGTTCATTTGTGTGAGGATCAAGAGACCAAAGCAACTCAAAAGTGAAGGTAAGAATTGAACTCTGACCAACTTTCATTTTTTAGGACAAGTTAATTTCAAATCTTGTAAAGGTGCGCCAGACGAATCATGAATATATGTTACTTTTTTATATTCTTTTTATTAGTTACAGATAATTGAATTATTATTTTAACTAAAAAGTAAGTTAAAATTAGTTAAATGAATATACGTAAGAAGTGTATTTTTTTAATAAATATACCCTTATTTATAGAAAGGATGAGTGGGAAAAGGAGATCAGAAAGGCATATAATTTAATTAGTTGGGAACAGAAAGGCATATAATTTAATTAATTGGGGATGTAAATGAAAAAAAAAGGGGAAATTGCAAAAAAGACCTTGGAATTGCAAAAACGCAGATAGGACCCTTGACAACTTCACTTTGGGTTTTGACAACTTCAGGGCATATTATTCTTGTCAAAACCCAAAGTGAAGTTGTCAAGGGTCCCTATCTACGTTTTTGCAATTCCAAAGTCTTTTTTTGCAATTTTCCCAAAAAAAAATGTATGCAAAAAAAATTAATTTATAAAAAAAATTTTAAAATGCTCCAGCTTATAATTTTTTAGGTGTGATCGTCATTTAGGAATTATGAATACCAGCAAGCTTGGCATTTATGCACGTACAATAGTAAAGGCGAACTTCCTAATACAAAACCAAAACCAAAACCAAGTATTAATTCATAGTTAATTACTTAAAACACTAGGAAATTAATGAAGCATAGTAATAGCAAAAAAATCAAAAATCCAACTAGATTTCAAATAAGTGAAAAAATATGCAGTCAAATATGTTCAAAGGCCTAGCAAGCCCAAATTAAAGGAGCCCCTAAACTCAAAAGAAGACCATTGCATTCCAAGCCTTAGTATCTGCTGCCCAATATATGACTATAAGCAAATACCAAAACCAAAACATATCCTAAAACAAATCCAAAACCAAACCAAAACATATCAATTGATGAGGAGTTTTATTTTAGGATTCCTTTCTGTATTATTATAGCATTATATTAATGTGTTTGTACGACTTTTAGAACAAATTGAGGGCTTATTTATGTGTGTGTTTTCTGTTGGCACTGAATCTAAAGTGAGACGCATTATTCATTTAATTTCTTATAAATCGTACAGATTTCAATAGATTTTGAATGATATTTTCATATTGATGATTCATTTCTGTTTATTAATGAGTTTCTCAATCTTGATCCTGCTGCCTTATTTCTTCTTCTTTTAGTTTAGGCTGCCAGTATTATCCAGCCATTATTTTATTTGCCAATTAATTACCATCCTTCTGCTTTCAGTTCCGTGTAGTTAATTGCTTAAGGTCAATAGTCTTTTGTTCTATCTAAAACTGTTTCAACTTGCAAGTCTCTTGCTCGGTGATATTGTATATTGGGGTCCATTTGTTTTTCCTGCTTCCAATTTGTTTTTCCTGCTTTATTCTGCCAAGTATATTGGGGTCCAATTTGTTTTTCCTGCTTTATTCTGCCAAGAATGGTGGTATGTTTCTACTTATTTATTAATGGATGCGCTTCTAACAATTTTTCAGAAAGGACAAAAAAGTGGACCGGACACTAAATTGGTCAAGGTAATGATTCAAAGGTCAATGGGTCAAATTAGGATTAACTCGGGATCAAACCAATTATATTAAAATAGTATAATTTAATTAAAAATACAAAATACAACAATATTAATAATCATTATAACAAGATACAAGTAAATGCAACAATAGTTTGATTGTAACAATAATAAAGTATAACAACATTAAGATTGTTCATCTTTACCATTCTTCAATAACTAAAATTAATAATCATTGATGCCAAATCATCATTAAAGTTCATTTAAATATATAGTATTGAGATATTAGAAGTTGAATGAGAAAAAATGGAACAAATAGCGACATAATCATTCAAATCAGTTCAACCCAATTTTTACATGTTTAACCAAGTGGATATTGGTTTACTCCATAACTAGTTTAACACTTAAACCAAATCAGACCACAAGCCGTAGGTCCGGTCCTCTCTTTTTCCCTTTATTTTTTCCCTTTAGAATTAGTGCTTGTATATATTGGTCCCCATGTCTAATATATGGAATTTTTAGCTTGCACAATACTCAAAATTAATGCTTTTCTTGCCTTATTTGTTTTCATCTTGGGATGCCTAATCACTGATTTCTTGACTTTTGCTTTTTGTATCTGAATATTGACAGCAAGGAATTTAGCGCAAATAACACTAATAATAACTAGTAGAAGCCACCACGGCGAACTAGTGAGACATTATATTCGTGTGCCTAAATATTATTTACAATAATCATTATTGTCAATGTTTTGTAATGTTGTACTGGTTGACTGACTATCTAAGTTATATGATTTTTAATTAAAACTAATTAATTTTCTTTTTTTCTTTTATTTCATTTCCCCATTTGATTGAGTGGACTTTAATTCACAATAGTTATTTTAATTTTAACTGTAGAGAGGGACTCGATGATATCATATATAAATGTATATTATAGACTTTTGAGAAAGAAATTTAAAAAGTTACAAATATTTGATTTGGACAATTATAAATTGATGAATTTTAACTGCAGATAGGGCATTTAAGTTTGAAGTACAACTTCTAATGTGCAATTGGTAATCCTATTTGCAAATGTCTCAATATTTTTTCAGAAAATTTTTCTCCGAGGAGCCAATTATCATTAATTTATTCTTTTAGGATTTAAATGTCATTCTTTCAAAAATAATATATTGTGATTCTAGTCTTTTAGGTCAAGTCAAATGATTATCAATCCATGACCAATAACAGAGTGAGACTCTTTTTAATTTAATTATTTATCTAATGTTTAGCGGTAAAAGCCTTAGCCGCCTATTATATGTATGTATGTAACACCTAGCAATATAAGATTTGATCCAGCAGCAAAACTTCAAATTAAGAACCAAACTCTTACCAAAACTTGAAGCCATAGAAAACACGTAATTTTCACATTTCAAAACAAAAAATATTCATTGCTTCATTGCCAACTTGAGAATGACGATCTTTTGTATGATGATTCTTAAAAATAAATAAATGTCCATCTCATCAAAGAAAAATAAAGATCAAGTAAGACATTAGATGCTTCAATTTACTTTTCAAAATTAAAGAAATAAAAGATCATCATCCTCATTTCAAATCCTACCAATTTGCATCATCGACTATCTCATGCGAACTCATAAAATATTACAATCTCTTGGTGTACGAGGTAAGCCCAAACTATCAGACATGTGCTATTCTTTTGTTCTGAAGGAAAAAACACACACACACGGAGAAATGACAAAATATTTATGAAAAAACTCTAACTTTAACATTTTGCTGTTTGATTTTGGTTTAAATGCAAGTTTAACTTGCACCGTTTGAAAGATCGAAAGTGAGAGAAGCTGATATATATGGAGAAACTGGGAGATATCATATAGGATATAACAACGAATTTGTGTGTTTGCGTCAAACAAGAAGCTGAGTTTATTTATGAGTTTGAAGAGAATATGCAATCTTTGAATGATAAATGGAAAAGGCTTGAAGCTATGAAGAAGAACGTGGAAGCTCAAATTGAAGAAGCTGAGAGTAGTAGAGGGGGAAAGGACACATGAAGTTGGTGTTGGCTCCAAAGCATCCAAAATATTCAAGAGGTACTCTTCAATTAATACATCTATTCTCTCCCTGTCTCTTTTTTCCTCGTATTTATTATGTGGTATTTTAATTTATTTGATTTTTTCTGTTCATGAATGAGATAATCTCCAAATTCAACATCAATAATGTTAATTAAGTAATTCAAGTTTTAAATACTTTGCCCAGTAGTTTCTCATGAGTTAATTTAAAGCTGTTAATTGGTCATTTTGAAAAAAAAAGAAAATGTTGCTCAGACCAAGCTAAGCGCTTCTAAAAATTTTGGATGTGTGAAATCTATATTATATTGAATTTATTTGAAACTTCATCACAATATAAAAATATTATGCTCACAGCTACGTGTCCTCTAATCAGGTGTACATATTTTTCTAATTAAATTTATCTCTATGTTTCTTTTAGCTGAAAAATTGGGCAGCTTGTAAAATGGATGCTGATAAATTAATTAAATAAAGTTTTTATGCATGCGATATTG